TTATTGGTCAATATATTTGCTGATACACACGGAAAAAGAACTAGGTAAATGCCTAAAAACTGTTGTAAATTAAATCCCCTGTTAAATTTTATTTAGAAGTTAATAATGGCTAGTGTAGCTCTTGCTGCGACAGGAATAAGTGACCCAGAGGCTGATACTGGGCTTCAAACTTTAAGCTGAAGGTCAGAAAAGCAAAGTAGTGGGCCACTAGCTTCTTACCACTACCTCAGGCTGAATGGGCTGATCCGGATGCCTCTCCTCAGGGTGGCTGAAGAATCCTGAGACTTCCATGTCTTCCTATCCTCAAGGTGGCTGGAGAATGAATCCCTCCTATCTTCTGTAGGGCTGGAGAATCAATGCCTCCTACTGAATACTGGAGACCCTGTTTCTGTCTTTTATACCCCTGTAGTACTGGGATTAAAAGTGTGTGATCTGTTACTCTTTTAGACTGATTCAATCTCATGTATCCTTGGGTGACTTTGAACTCATTCTGAGTCCTAGGATTAAAGGTATGTACCACCACCTCCTAGTTTCTGGCTGCTGGGATTAAAGGTGTGTGCCTGGCTTTTTTGTCTTATAGCTGACTTTGCTTTCTGAATCTTCAGGCAAGCTTAATAAGTCATAAATAATATATCACCACATCTTGCCACATTGAACCTTTCCTTAACTCACTGGAAAGACCTAACTGGGGTATATGTTCCATATACATAATATATTGCATATACTTATTTATATAATATATTGTATATTATATATACAATATGTATAATATATACATATATTGAGAGCAAGCATCTTCACTTTACATATGCCAAGCTAAACTTCTCCACTGGCCTTCATTATAATTATGAAATAGTAAAGGTAATTATTAACCTATTTAAGATTTCTGATAGGTATATTCTCAAAAATATATATGATTTATGAGATCATATACTGAGTTTCTATATTATCATCATGTAGTTGGTTTTTTCCTTTGACTCTTGGGGACCTGCCACCCAGTTCACAAATAAACACATGGAGACTTATTCTTACTTATGAATGCCCAACCTTAGCTTGGCTTATTTCTAGCCAGCTTTTCTAACTTAATTATCCCATTTCTTTTTAACTATGTTTTGCCTCTCGCCTTTTTTTTTTTTTTCTGAAACAGGGTTTCTCTGTGGCTTTGGAGGCTGTCCTGGAACTAGCTCTTGTAGATCAGACTGGTCTGGAGTTCACAGAGATCCGCCTACCTCTGCCTCTCGAGTGCTGGGATTAAAGGCGTGCACCACCAGCGCCCAGTGAATGTAATACATCTTAAACTAATATTCCACATCATCAACCTTTTTGTCATATAGGTGATAATACAATCTTCCCTTACTTGAGCTTTAAACAGTCTATTCTACTTTGGACTGTAGTGTGGAAATGTAAAATAACAAATCCTTCGAAAAACAGTAACTTCTATCCACAACTGTTGGGTTATTAAAAGAAACGTGACTATGGAACAGGGAATGTAGTTCAGTTGGTGGAGTGCTCATAGATTACATACCTGTATTCTCAGCACTGGGAAGGCAGATCAGGAAGATCAGAAGCTCAAAGTCATCTCGGGCCAGGCGTCGGTGGTGCACGCCTTTAATCCCAGCACTCAGGAGCAGAGACAGGTGGATCACTGTGAGTTCGAGACCAGCCTGGTCTACCGAGCGAGTTCCAGGACAGCCTCCAAAACAATACAGAGAAACCCTGTCTCGAAAAACCAAAAAAAAAAAAAAACCAAAAAAACAAAAACCAAAAAAACAAAAACCAAAAAAACAAAAACCAAAAAAAAAAAACAAAGTCATCTCAGCTGCATAGGAAATTTAGGCCAGCCTGGATATCCAAGACCCTTTTTTAAAGTACATAGAGATGGTTGGGTAGAGTTGTTAGGTAGGTAGCTAAGTAGATAGATAGATAGATAGATAGATAGATAGATAGATGAGATGCATAAGATACATAGATAGGCCAACAAACTCCAGTAAAGACAAGGATATCCCAAAACAGCATTTACATGTTAAATGGGCCAGCAGTAAGGTTCATTTATTCTTCATTAACTGGGTAGTAACAAGAACTGGTTTGTTTATTGTGATTTTTGTAACTCTAGTATGCAATAGAAAATTATTTTTAAAAAAATGATTAAGCCGGACGGTGGTGGTGCACGCCTTTAATCCCAGCACTCGGGAGGCAGAGGCAGGCGGATCTCAGTGAGTTCGAGGCCGGGCTGGACCGACAGCCTCCAAAACAATACAGAGAAACTCTGTCTCGTAAAACCAAAAAAAAAAAAAAAAAAAAGATTAAATGCAAATTGTTAATTCAACAGAAGCCCAAGTAATTATGTTTTGAAGGTCACTTGGGTACTATGAAGTAATTCATAGTTTGGCCCAACTAAAGGCCTATGTCCTTGTACTCATAACAATATGAATCACATATTGACTGCTTCCTATACTCCGGCCTCTGGTTCTTCAGTTAAAAAGAATTTTTCTTCTTGGCAAACAAAAAGGAGAATTATTAGGTGGTATCTTGGTAGAGCAATACCTATGAAAGCCATCAAAGTCCCTGGAAGGGACTTTGATAGAAATACATTCTTTTTTATTTTTCTTTTTTTAAAATTTAAATTAGAAACAAGCTTTTTTACATGTCAATCCCAGTTCCCTCTCCTTCTCCTCTTCCCCTGCCCCCCACTGGCCTCCTATCCCATCCCCTTTCTGCTCCCCAAGGAGTGTGAGGTCTTCCATGGGGGGATCTTCAAAGTCTGTCATATCATTTGGAGCAGGCCCTAGACCCTTCCCCGTGTGTCTAGGCTGAGAGAGTATCCCTCTATGTGGAGTGGGCTCCCAAAGTCCACTCTTGTACTAGGGATAAATATGACCCACTGCTAGAGGCCCCATAGATTAACCAGACTTGAAATACATTCTAAGCAATGTAATATACACAGATAACCCGGCATCCCATAAGCAGCGGAGAGGGCCAAAATCTGACAAGAGTCCTTGTCAGTCCATCCCTTGTGACATCCCTCACTTTGCCTAAGGAGTTGAAATCTAGACATGGCTGAAAGTATAGCAGACCCCTGTATTTGTGGTAGGTAAAGCAAGAACCTCAGTTATAAGTCAAAATGAAAGGTATTAGTGAGAGATTTAACACTTACAGTCACACTTGGAGTTACAAGGTGTTAATGAGCAAGACGTAGGAAGGCATGCATTTTTCTCACCTGGCTTTCTGGTTTTACTGTTGGTGCAGAACGTTTGAAACCTCTAGCTGTGAAAGTATGAGTCAGGAGTGTTTCTGTAGCATGAATGGTACCCTCTGTAAGATGAGGGACTTTCGGGGAAATGCAGGAACAGTGGGGGTAAAACTGTTTGCAGCAAGCAGGATCCTTGGTTGACTGCAGAGGGCAGTGTGTGGGAGCTGACCAAAGGGGAGACGGATGAGAAGTAACTAAATTATGCATGGCAGTCTTTACACGGCATTGGAAGGAAGAAAGCTTAATGATGTTGTGGTTGAAGGACCAGCAGCAGCTGCTGATGTATTAGTTGCATGTTGGTAAGAAGAGAAACGACTCCAACAAGACCCAAGGACTATGATGAGGGTGCCAAGGACCAAGCAGTGGGTGGGGGAGAGAAACCACTTGCTCAGGACATAATGAATCTTAGTGGCAACATGATAGTCAACTAAAGTTAACTTGACATTAAAAATCATCACTTTAATCTATGTGGCTCTTTCAAGCCTGAGTTTTATCAAGGGTGAAATATTTCTCCCCTTTGCTTTTCTGGCATCAACCAAGAGCAGTACATAATTTAATTATGGAATCTACAGGCTGGATCGTGGGAATGAAGAACGATGTGTCTGCGCCAGTGAGGAATTAGGTAGAACCAACTGTTTATTCTCATCATTCTTCCTCTGCGAGGCAAATGAATACAGTTAACAAGCTTTTGTTTGGATTAGCAGTTGAGATCGGGGATGTGCAGCTCAGAACTCGTGATGATTACAACTGCTTTTATTTATGGAGCGAGGGTATGGAGTGTGGGGAGTAGCCGCAAGCTCCGTGGGTAAGACCAACAAGGGACGCTTGTCACTCTGTGCCGGAACAAAAAAAGTCCCTCCAGACTTAGGGTGTAACATCTGAGTCCAGTAAACGATGTGAAAGGGAATCGGATGTGGTTCCTTGGGGCATATGACCTCCACAAACTTTACCAGGGGACTGTCAAGCAAGCATGCGTGTGTCTTGACTGTCTAGAGAAAGCGTTAGCTTGCATCTCAGGGTCTTTCACAGGACTGGAGTAGAAATTCTAAACCTGGTCAACCAAAAAGTCAATGCAAATGAAGTTTCGAAGTATTGGCCTCAGGGCACAGTGCCTTCCTATATGAAGCTAAAAAGTCATTGCTGGCTAGGACACAGTCAGTAGGGCTTATTATAGAAACGCGAACCAGGTCGCTTCATGCCTTGAGCCTAGAATCTGTGGGTCTTTTATTCACCTTTCTGTATTTACAGTAACTGCTTAAGGAAGTTGGTGATGGATTCAGGGAGGACCACTGACCATCAACAACTTAATATAAAAAAACAAGCTCTCAGGCACGTGGGTCCCTTCCTGAGCCCATGCCTGCACCACCAGAGCAAAAAAAACGCCCAGGGCAGGTAGCTGGGCAGTGGTGGTGCACGCCCTTAATCCCAGCACTCAGGAGGCAGAGGCAGGCGGATCTCTGTGAGTTCGAGACCAGACTGGTCTACAAGAGCTACCAGGATAGGCTCCAAAACAATACAGAGAAACCCTGCCTCGAACCCACCCAAAACAAACAAACACAAAACCGCAAAGGTGACTAGCAACGCTGGAATCCCGCTGCCTGCCACCGCGGGACAGACGCTGTGCACCAAGGACCCCCCCTCCCCACCGCCACGCCCGCCGGGAGTCGCGACCGCGCGAGGGTGAGCGCCGCGCTGGTCCCCGCCCACCCTTCCGCCGCGCGCGGGCCCCGCCTCCCTCCTGACTTCCCGCGCGGCGGTGGCGGTGGCGGCGGCGGCGGCGGCTGCGGTCGGACGGTGCCAGCGTGGTCTGCTCCCCGGTGGAAGCGGACGTCTGGGGCGTCCCATCGCGGAGGACCCGGCTCGTCCTGCGCTCCGCCTGCACGTGCGTGGCCACCCCGGAGGAGGGAGGGTGCTCCCGGAGTCTCTGCCGGCGTCCACGTGGTGGGGAGGATGGAGACTTGAGAGCCTGGAGCAGAGTTGGAGTGGAGTTGCCGGGACTTTTGTGCGTCCTTTCCGGGCTGAGGTGGAGCGGTTTCTCCCCGGACTGGTGACATCTCAGCCTCAGTTTCCTTGTTTTGAAGCTGTTCGTGGGTGGGTACAGAGCCCCCAGGGAGTTTTCAATCTCGCACAGGCAGCCGGGAGTGGGGAAATGTGGAAATATGTCCCTTGTCGCTGCCTTCCCATCCCCCTCCAAACCGTAAAGCAGGCGGGAAACTAGTCCAGCCTCCAGTCTCCCTGTTGAGCAGGGTGTCACTGGCGACCGAGCCACTGGCTATTATTTGTGCTTCCTCATATCTACCTTAAGATTTCTCAGTAAATGGGGTGACCCTGTATGGAAGTCCTTCCCGAGTTTATTTGTGAGTGGATTCTCCTAGCTGAAGTTCAGAGCCTCCTCCCACCCTCTCAACCTCTTCCCCCGTTGTAAAGACCATCTAGGCCTGGCCCTAAAGTACATTTACAGAACCTGGCTTTAGTATTGGCATTTTATTTTACTTTTTTTCCCCACTTGAATCAGTCTTCAAGAGATGATTAATCTGTTTGTTTGGAGAAAGGAAAGGGACAGATCACCTGGTTAGTTCCCGGAACTGGCTTCATTTCAAATGTTATTTTTTATTTATTTACACCGAGCGTGGAGGGCAAATTTCCTGAGTTGTGGGTCTGTAAGATTCGATGCTCATGCCTGCTTTAGCTAGATGTGAGGCTCTTAAGGTGGGTAGGACCCATGCTTTGTGATTTCTGCTTAGTAAGTACAGCTGACATTGCCCAGGGTTTTCCTGCATTTCCTTGGAAAGCAGACTGACAATTGCTCTTCTCTGTGTTTAGTGCCATATGACTGCTAGACCCAACATGAGTGATGGTTCCTGCAAGAAACGGGATGACTATCTGGAATGGCCTGAGTATTTCATGGCGGTGGCCTTCTTATCAGCCCAAAGAAGCAAGGATCCAAGTTCCCAGGTAAATCGGTTTTGTAGGTGGATGTTCAGATACTTGCAGAGGTATACACAAAGAACAGGCCAGGAAACTATGCCCAGCCACTTAAAAAATGCAGTGGTAATCTGCTGCCCTTTGTGGGGCGTTCCCTCGGGCCTCTGTGCCACCGCCCCAGCGGCACGGCAGGGCACACCAGCTATTTGTCCTCATTACCAAACCTTGGGGCAATGTTTCTTTCTAGGTTGGAGCCTGCATTGTGAATACGGAAAACAAGATCGTTGGGATTGGGTACAATGGGATGCCAAATGGGTGCAGCGATGACCTGTTGCCTTGGAGGAGAACAGCAGAAAATAGACTGGATACTAAATATCCCTATGGTAAGGTATCCTGTGGAAGTTGAGTGCTTCTTTGAAAAACTTGGTCTTCCCTTTTAGTCAACAGATGGAAAGAGAAAAAAATTTGTCATGAACTACCCTATCTTCCTGTTTCCGCCTCTTTTAAATAATGTTTTTAAAAATAATTTATTTAAGTTTATTTTATGTGTATTGGTGTGAAGCTGTCAGATCCCCTGGAACTGAAGTTACAGACAGTTGTGAGTTGCCATGTGGGTGCTGGGAATTGAACCTGGGTCCTCTGGAAGAGCAGCCAGTGCTCTTAACCACTGAGCCATCTCTCCAGCCCCTTAAACAATGTTTTAACTACTTCTTGGATAATTTTATCTCCTCTTAAGATTTATATGTTTATTTTTATGTACTTGTATTGTACCTGCATGAGTTTATGTGCACTACATAGCCGGCTCCCAAAACATGATACAGAGACTTCCTTTTAATTGTGAAAGCTCAGCCGGTAGCTTAGGCTTGTTTATAACTAGTTCTTATGACTTAAATTAATCCTTATCATTTAACCTTTGCTCTTTTCCATGGCTCAGTTATCTCTGCTTTGTAAAGTCCATGCTGCTGGCTCTGCCTCCCTGAAGTCTCTTTAAAACTCTGCCCTTTTTCTTCCCAGCATCCTCTCTGCCCTGAAAACCCTGCCTCACTAGTGGCCATTCAGTTTTTTATTAAACCAGTCACAGCGACATATCTTTACACAGTGCAATCAGATATCTTGCAATGCATAGGTACAAGTGACTGCAGAGGCCAGAAGGGGGCGTCAGGTCCCTTATTAACTGGAGTTACAGGCGTTTGTGGGCTTGATGTGGGTGCTGAGAATCAAATCTGGGTCTACCTCAGGAGCAGTGAGTGAGGCTAGGCTCTGAGGCTTCTCTCCAGCTCCTCCTGTCCCTGTCTCTTAAGCCTCAAAGGGCACCGCTGGTGGAAGCATAGGCATTGTTAGACAAGTGTCCTGACCCTTGCTGTCTTTGTGAGTCTGGTGTGCTTCCCAGTGGCCCGAGAGCCTATAGACACCAGAGTGTGCAATGAAGGCCACAGCCCTTTGCAGAGAGAGCAGGGGTTGTTCCTTTTCTTTGGGAAAGTAGAGGCAGCTAGCCAAATGAAGCTTCTGCTAACCTAGCAGGGATTCCTCTTGCCCTGCTGAGAGGTAAGATACACGTTCCACCTCTTGGCCTCTGGTCAAGTTCGTCTCTGGGAAGCTGGTTCGAGACTGAGCTGGGCATCAGGAGGTGGATGGTTTGCCTCCTCTTCCTGTGGCTTGGGTCTGTCGTCCCACCGTGGGCTGTGTTCGGAACCAAAGGCAGCAGTATAGACACGAAGGCCTTCTCTTGGCTTGAATTGTTTACCTTGAAATTAGGAGAGGGTAGCCGGGCGGTGGTGGCGCACGCCTTTAATCCCAGCACTCGGAAGGCAGAGGCAGGCGGATCTCTGTGAGTTCAAGGCCGGGCTGGACTGACAGTCTCCAAAACAATACAGAGAAATCCTGTCTCGTAAAACCAAAAAAAAAAAAAAAAAAAAAAAGAAATTAGGGGAGGGTGCTATGTGAGTTGCTGTTGCTGTGACCAAACTCACAGAAATAACTTATGTGAAGAAAGGTTTGTTGTTGTTGTTTTTGACTTTTGGAGACAGGGTTTCTCTGTGTGTCGCCTTGGCTGTCCTGGAACTCCCTTGTAGACCTGGCTGGCTTTGAACTTAGAGATCTGTGTATGCCTCTGCCTCCAGAATGCTAGGATTAAAGGCATACAATACCAGCAAAGGTTTACTGGGCCTCTCAGTTTGAGAGGGACATTAGTTCATCATGGTGGGGATGGCATGGTATTGGGGATGGCTCTGTCCTTGGCCTCGGTAGTGTAAGGTAGTTAGTGTCTGTTCACATCCGGTGGACTAGAAGCCAACCTCTGCCGAACTGTGAGGAGGGATGGCCCATTTTGCTAGGTGAACCCCATTTATTAAAAAGCTGTACACTGTTGACAATAGCTTTACAAGCTGTGGTGAACCCCAGTGCCAAAACACAAGCCTTAGGGGACTTTCTAGATGGAAACCATAGCTGGTGATTCCTCCAGTCCTCGCCTAGCCCAGCCCCAGGGGGAATCAGAGGTGATGTGGAAGGGAGTCAGCTTTGCTGTTCCTTCTATTTTTCTGTCTGGCTTTTTGTTCCATTCCACCTGGCTTTTATGTTGGAAGCAAAGTAGATTAAGGTCATCTAAATGGGAAGGATTGTGCCTTCCGGAAATCACATTCAAGGCGTCCGTGTAAGACCTGTCTTGTTGTTGGCTCTTCTGGTAGGCTTTCCCTCTGGGCTTTTCCTTCGTGAGGAGGTGCATGTCTGCCTTTAGTCAAATTTATGTATTTTTTACTAATGCTCTTGGACCTTAATCTTCTTAAGTATGCCCCAGAAGTTTCTTTATAAACTCTTTAAGGGCGAATCCTGTGAGTTTGAATGGAAAAGAAGAAAGCGGCCTGGAAGAAGAGAAGGAATTGAGTGAAAGGGTAGAGACACCTTAAAGCTTTCTCAAGGGTATAAAAAAATAGTTCCATGATTGAGGGACTGAATGGTTAGATAGCCAACTTAATTTCACCCCTGGTGGGCGTGGCCAGAGCACTGACAAAATTGGGGGAGTGAGACTGTCCCTTCCGAGGCCTACCACAGCTCATGGTAGTGAGGTATGTGAAAAATGTGCTAACACTAGCATATCTTAGAAACTGTCAGCCCGGTTTTGATTCCGTAAGCCTCTGATGGGAAAAAAAGAAAGGGAAATGATTAGTTGTTTTGAGGTCTATGCAAAAATAATTTTTCACAGCACAGTTCGATGTCTCATAAAAAACGGTCAAAGCGAAAAGGTCGATATGTTGAAGATCTACATTGAAATGTATGACTTAACTGCAGCCAATATTTCACTGAACTGGGACAGTGACGTATTGGTCCTTGCTCCGAGCTCCGGGAAGGAGGAGTTCTTACACAGAGTGTCAGTCTGGGGTGCTCAGGCTGGTTGCTAAAGATTCCAGTGGGTATAGAGTGCAGTGTTGGGGGTCCCCGGTGGCCACTGGGCACTTGTCAAAGTGGGGCCTGTGCCTTTAGTCACGGAGAGCCCCGGTACATGTTTGTGATGGTGCTCTGGAAATCAGAGACTGGATTACATCCACACACACCTCTCCCACTGCCTGGTGCTCTTTACCCTCACAGCGACTGGCTTTATTCTGAGGCTGTGGCCTTTTGTCAAGGGTGGGGAGAGTACTTTTGGAGCAGCTTCCCAGGAGGAATTAAACCCACACAGGCATTTGTCCAACCTCCCTGATTGCTCTTTCCTGAAGAGCTGCTGGGTTTCTGAGCACTGGTTGTCTGTCTTACATTATTTTTTATCATCCATATGATACCTCTAGGTTTTCAGAGCTCTTTGCCCTCACTTATCAATTATTCATTTTATGTGTAGCTGTGTTAGAATGTAGACAATTTTCTTCCACGAGAATAACCTAGTAATTTGATGTACCATAAAAATTGTGGAAGGTATTAAATGGTTTTTAAAAGGCATTTAGTGTTACTGCCATCATGACTATGTGTACACTGCGCTCATTCCTGCCTTTCCAGGGCTTTTCAAGCCACTGAGAAGAGAATGTTCGATTGCCTGTGATCTAGGAGGATGTTACGAGGCACTTTTTAAAAAACTTCTGTTTTAAGCTTACAAATTTTAAGGCCATAACTGGATGCTAGTAACACTTTTCTTCCCTCACCTATGTTAATGTTGACCAAGCTTTTCCACAAGAAAGGATGGGTACATGGAACCCTTAGATAGTTTTCAAGAGCTCTGACCAGTGGTTCTTAACTGCTGAGTCAGCATGTCCCTAAGGACAAATTTCTGTCGTCACCTTGTTGGATTAAGAAAGGCCAGGATCAGTAGTGAGGCACACCTTTGGGTGTGTCTGTGAGTGCTGCCTGGAATCACTTTACAGTAGCATATTTACCAGATGGCATTTGCACTTGCTTGGGAAGAGTTCATGGACCACACTAGGTCTTAGTATATTCCACAGTACCCCAGGCTTCTAAACCTACAGCATCTGCTGCTTCTCCTTTCAAAGTCCTTCTGTGATGTTCTGCGTGTAGGGTGGCACCTGATTCCTGTGCAGGGTCTGTGTGCGTGTGTGTTGGTATGGCTTCTTGGACAATTTCATGCCTGTAAACAATATGTTTTGATCATATGCACCTCACCTCCTCCACACACCCTAAAATCTCTGCCTCCCTCCTTCATTTCCTCTCTTTTATGTTTGGAACCCACTGAGTACAGTTGGTGCTACCTGTTGCAATGCTGACTGATCTCACTGATTGGTCCTGTGCAGGTAGCCACAGCCGCGGTGAGTTCATGTGTGCAGCAGTCATGCCATGTCCAGAAGACACATTCCCCAGCACGCGTCCCCATGGTCCCCTTCTTACATTCTTCCCGCCTCCTCTTCTGTGATGCCTCCTGGGCCGTGGAGGGGGCGCGTGTTGATCTATGTGTCCCGTTTAGGGCTGAGCACCCAATAGTCACCTACTCTCCATACAGTGGTCAGTTATGAGTCTCTGTGTTAACTGCTGACTAATGCAGGGAGACATTTCCGTGGCCAAGGTTAACATACATCTACGTGTATAAACACAAGTGTTTAGAATATAGTTTGATAACATGCCCGTTTAGCAAGACAGTAGAAGTAGTAGGATCCTCTCTATCATAATCATCTCTCTCATCAAGAGCTTCTTGTTGGTTTTTTCTTTTTCTTTCTTTTTTTTTCTTTTGGTTTTTCAAGACAGGGTTTCTCTGTATTGTTTTGGAGGTTATCCTGGAACTAGCTCTGTAGACCAGGCTGGCCTCGAACTCACAGAGATCCGCCTGCCTCTGCCTCCTGAGTGCTAGAATTGTTTTTTCTTTTACACAGGGTTTTTCAGTGTAACAGTCCTGGCTGTCCTAGAACTTGCTTGTAGACCAGGCTGGCCTTGAACTCACAGAGATCCTCCT